AGATCAATTTGACAGCTGAGTGAAGGATGCACTGGAGTAGGCAGAGACCAACCAGAAAGCTATTAACAGTAGTTCAGATGAAGTGATGAGGACCTTCACATGTCAGAGAAATGCTCTGAAGGTAAACCTGACAACTGATTGGATTGAAGGATCAGGGAGAGAAAGAGTGAGGTGCAGAAGATGACCCCTAGTTTACTAGCCTGGTCACTAGAAGGATGGTGATGTCTTCCAGAAAAATAGAGAAGTGAGAAAGAGGGGAGGTCTTAGGGGAAAAGATGAATTCATTTGAGTCTAGAGATTGGGAGAGAGGTTAGACCTATATAAGCAGATTTGAGAATCACCATCATAGAGATGATAATTAAATACATAGGAGGTGATGAGATCATCAACTAAAATAGTATAGAGGCAGAAGAAAAGGCCTAAAGCTTAGGAGATAGCCACAGTTAGTGGGCATTACCTGGATGAAGATCCATCAAAGGAGATTTGAGAAGGAATGATGGTCAGAAAGGCAGAAAACTAGAAAAGAGTAGTGTCACCAAAAATCTAGAAAGGAGACAGTATCAAGGGATAAGACTAAAATTGATGGGGGATTCACGAGTTTAAGGCAGCATATTCCCTTCCACTTTTGGACAACCTCAATTTTTCAGTTACAAATAAATAATATATCCCCTGTATTAACTAAGGCTTTGAGCTTTCATGTAACAAATGTGATTTATCATAAAATATATTCCTAGTTGTCATCAAAAGCAGCATTTGGGGGTATTTTTAAAAAGTGCACGTATGGAAAGTATTATTAAAAAAGTTGTCTCCCACTGGATGTGCCTTGCTTACCCTCTACCACACACACTCCACTCCCCATGACTGGGAGCTCTCTACCTTTCCTACCTTTCATTCTCATTCTTCCACGAACGTTTGCAAATTTTGAACCTCTCAGGGAAAATGCTTTTTGGAATGAACTACAAGGTAGTTGTGGATTGCAATATCTGACAGAAATATACCAGGTGAAGATGAAACCCAGACATTCAAAGACCACCTACATTAGACTCATACGCCGTTTACAGTATGACATAGGACAGTGGTTCTCAACTTTGGGTGTGTGGACTTTTAAGAAAAATTTTGGTAACTAATTAGTTATCCTCTGTAGTCCTATGTATTTTATTTTATGCATTTAAAAACGTTATTGTTAAAAGAGGTTCAGGACACAAAAAAGGTAAAGAATACCCTTATATAGGGGAAAGAATACTAGTTTGTAACAGAAGACCAGGACATTAAAAGTCTGGACCTCAGTATCCTTATGTTTAAAAAATAAAGAGACTGAACTGGATGATCATTAATGTCTTTTGCAGTTCTATGTAAGGTTCATCACCAAGATTACAGGTAAGTACCTTAAGGTTCTAATATTAGAAAATTTAATATGCAGGGTACCTGCCATCAAGTAGCTTACATAAGCAAATTTAGAGACTGTATGTAAATGCTAAGGACATGGCCTCTACATTTATCATAGTAAAAATTATAATTATCACAGTGGCTTATTTCATTCCTTAGGCCTAAAGAACTATTTTACACTTATATCTGCAAGCATAAGGCTAATTTTAGTCTTCTGAGACAAGTAAATTTAAGACCAGCTAAGATTTAAACAGCTAAATGCCTTCGTTTATGTTGTCTGCCCTTTACCTTACTACTGTCCTCTGAAATTGGTGCTGTCAGTACTTGGTTTTCCAAACCTATTTTTAAACTACTACTTTCACATTTCCCCTGGACTTTCCAATTAAAAATAATGATAGTAAATATTCAGATTAAAGTTGAATATACATATAATTCAAGGTTCAATTTCACATTTATTGAGTACCTACTACATATAAAGCACTGTGAAAGCAAATAAACAAACAAACAAAAAAAAAAACCTGAACATAAAGAGAAATCTAATTAGATTAAAAAATAAACTGTTAGGTTAAGGTATCAACCCATTGGGGGAAAAAAAACTTTTTTGCAACATGATGACAGAATCATAAAAATCTTAGTGGTCAGATAGGATAAATAGATACTTATTATAATTTCTATCATAATGCCTGCCACCAAAACTAACTTTACTTCCCAAGCTTGCAATTGACAAGAAGGGAAGAAAAACTCATTTGCATGAGCTTGCTAGCTCTCTCTTTGTCTTTCTCTCTCTCAACATGTATAAATGCACAAACACACAGATTCAGAATGACAAGTAGCTTACAAATTAGTATGAGGAAATGCCACAGGTTTCGTTACCTAAAATAGAGAAAGAACATAATCCTTTTATGATGACAATGACAATAAAATACAGGTACTGTTTTATATACATATTTAATCTTTTAATGAACAGTTAATAGAAATTATAATATCCAAAAGAGTGCTTTTGAAAACTTCACAAGTAAACAAATGGATGCTTCAATAAAACTGAGATTTTATATAGGCTATATAATATTAAAATATTCCATTATTGCATCAATAAATCACTGTTTTAATAGTTTGATTTCATGTTACAGTAATAATCATGAATAAAACACTGTATTTTCAGAGAACGTACTAAAGTATAAAATGTAGGGGAAAAGGCTGCCTAAAATAGGGAAAGGGGGGCATTTAACTTTTAATTATAAAATATAACAAGATTCAAATATTCAAAGTAAAGGATTTAAATAAGGCATAATTTAGTACAAAATTCCCCCAAATCTGGGTAGAGTTACCAAGACAGGGCAACTTACTTAAACCATCCAATACCCAGGTCTGGTTCTATTGAAAATTTCATGAAATGTTTCCTTACTGTAAGTCAAAGGTTATTTTCAATATGGAAGATATGGGAATCTATGTACCACAGTGATAGATGTCAAATAAAATTTCAGCAATTTGTAAACATTTAGATATATGCACATGTAATATGTGTTCTTTTAATATAAAACCTTAACATTAGATAATTCTCAAATTTAATAATAAAGCTATAAATTTTTATATAGCCCATCCACATTAATACTGTGCAAAAAAACCAAGAATTCAAACTTAAATGAAACAGAAATTCAATAAATATATCATTAGTGCACGTAAACATATATATTCTCCCACCTCACTAATGTTATTAAAGGACCATATCTGAGAAATGATAATTCTTGTAACTTATTTATCTATGCTTGCCAAAGGAGTGTAAAATTTGTAATAAAACTGAATAATCTATTGGATTCACTGATCCTGCAGCCTAAGGGTAAATACATTACTTTAGAACATCAACTATTGTTTCCTTATTTTAATCACAGAAATTCTTTTCATGTCCAAACTTATTAAAAATTTAAGCATAAACACTATTTCTTGAAATGCAAATTTCTCACTTAACTAGTAAGTTGTCTCACTTGTCTTACCTCCCTTTCAAATGAATAGCTAATTTCTTTGACAAGACATTATTGTCTGGGTGAGACTCTAGCCCTGTATATTATAATTAGAAAACTTATTTAAATATTGCTTGATTAAATAAATACTAGAATTAACACTATATTGCTAAGCACCATAAGAATCTTTAAGGATCTCTCAAGCGTTGGCATATGTTGTGGGTTGCAAAGGACCAAGTACAGTAGAATGTGAATGATGGAGATGGAATATTCATGTTTCGGTATCTGTAAACATATGAAGTATGCCTTAGACAATATTCTGTTATTATAAGAGACGTTCAAATCAACATACAAACCGTAAAAATGTACAGGAAAAATATTTTTAGACAATTTTAGAGATGACACCTTAATGTTTTATGTTATTTGAGTAAGACCATCAAGAAGAATTATATTTGTAAGAAATCAAACACAATTCCTGATCTATTCAGTTCCTAAGAAGCCAAAAACCAAGACTGCACTGCTTTAGATGTGGGTGTGATATAACCCAAACCCAGTTTTTTTGGAAGAAAAACAGCTCACCTTGAAAACATGCCACACGAGTTTAATTTGCAATTAGCTAATACTGACTGCAAACCAACAGTTTCAACCTGACCACTCAAAGACCAAGGTAAGAAACACACAAGAGAAAAAGAACATTGTTATGACTCTATGAACTACATACAAAATTTCTGCCCTCTTTCTCAGTCTGGGGGAAAGAAACAGTGATTTAAGGATCTGGGGCAACTCCTAATTAAAATTCTCAATGTTTAAAAAAAAAAAACTGACACAAAATAAAGTTTCCATAACAACAATGCAAGGAGATGCCTTATGCAAGCTTCCTCTGAAAAACAGCAAATCACTGTTATATAGTATCACATAGTTCGCAAAATACTAAAAATATTTTTTTTTTAATGCAGTATAGGGCTGGATAGAGGAAGCAACTCCCATCAGTCAAGTTCACTTAAGAGAGCACCTTGCATCGGACCAGACACGATTTCCTTGCACTAATTCATTCTCGCTCTAGCTTCTACAACTACTGTACTCCACCTGCACCAACACGTTCAAAACTTCACCTTATATAGTAGCACACTTTTCACCAAAGTCTAACTATATCCAGTTAACCATCATCCAAGAAGAAACCTTGGGTTGAGTGTATTTTTTTAAGTTGTTAAAGAGGTAATTAAGTACAAAGTCTGGGCGTGGGGGAGGGGGGACAGGAGGAAGGATGGTTGGTGATGTTCCTGAAGATGGACGGAGCCATATGGACGTAGAAACTAGGGAGCTTGTCCAATTTCCAAAGAGATAAAAATCAGCGCGTTCTTTCCCTCATCCCAGCCAGCTGACCTTTGGCCTCGAAACTTAAAATTATCCCATCCCATCGCCTTCGGAACCCCAAAGGGGGTGGAGGGGAACTTGACCATGGGAGAAATCTGGGGGAATCCCAAAGTGAGGGTCTTTGCCCTCTCCTACCCCCAGCCCCCGCGGCGCTGTCACCGTGCTGCGGGAGGGCGGCACGCGGCGCCGTGCACGGGGAGTCCCGGCGGGGCTCGGGGGTCCGCGCTCCCCCCACCCCCCGCAGGGACCCCCGCCGCCCCGTCTCGCCCTCCCGTTACTCACCCGCGGGCGGGCGGCGGAGCCGGCGCCGCTACTTCTGCATCCTCCCGTGGGCGGCGCGGCCGCTCCGCAGCCTCCGGAGCTCCGGCTCCGAGGCTCCCGGCGCCGGCCCGAGCGAGCGAGGGGGGAAGGGACCCGCCGCCGCCGCCGCCGCCTCGGCTTTCGCTCCGCACTCCCCGGGCTCCCGAGGCCACAACAGGCCCGCCCCCCCCCGCCTCCTTGCACGGTGCCCCCGCCGCCTCGCCGCGAGCCCCGCTTCCGCGCGACCGCCGCCTCCGCGGGCGCCTCGGCTCCAGTCCCCGGGCCCTCAGGCAACTGTAACGGCCCCGGAGGCAGCGGCGGCGGCCGAGCCCGAGAGCCGACAGCTGTGACTGCGGCGCGCGGGGGCGGCGCCTGCACGCAGCACAGCTGGGGGCGCTGCTCCCCGGGGCTCCGCCCCCGTCCCCCTCCCCCTCCCACCCACCCACACACCCTCGCGGCTCCACCCGGGTCGCTCCTTTCTACTCCAGCCGGCTCCCTCTACAACCACAACAGGAAGCCTGGAGCGCGCCCCCGCCTCCCTCTCTCCCTACTTCCCTCCCTCTCCTGCTCTAGTCCCGTCCGGCGCGCGCGCGCCCCGAGCTGGGAGAACCGAAGGGAAGCTCGCGCGCGCCCTGGGGGCCTTTCCAGGCGCGCTCCAAGGTGCAGCGGGGGTCGGGCTCAGTGGGTGGTGCTTCCAGAGGGACTCCCCCGACTTCTTTCACCTCCCCCACTCCTGTCCCAGGGTAAATCTTGAAAGGTCATTTAAGTCTCCAAGAGAAGGAAGGAGAAGAGAGAGAGAGCTGGTGGAACTGGTCCCGGGAGCTCGGTCCGGGAAGGATAGCCTGCCTACCGGGAGCCTGGCGAAAAGGACCGAGCCGAGGGCTTGGAAGGCTCCGACAGGGGCTACAGGAGGCTCGGCCGGTCCAGACGAAGGCTATGCAGAAGTTCCAGAGACTCGAGTGCAAAAAAAAAAAAAAAAAAAAAGAAGAATCTGGCAATAAGCCCAATAAGCATATTGCTAATTAATAATAGTAATATAACGTGGGGAGGGGAGAAAAGCGAGAAGCACATCCTTTCTACTCACCGTGGTGGCACACACAAGCATATCTCCAAGGCTGTGCATTTCATAGAAGGTTCCAGAGGCATGGTTATTCTTTTGCTTGTTGTGGGGAGGAAGGGAAGAGGGGGGATGCCTGAAGCTGTCCTGATCCTCTCCACTGCCCCCCTTCCAGTCCCATGTTTTAAAAGCCCTCATTCCCCATGATCTTCGAGGGTCCTGGAATGGTTTATTACTTTCTTTATTTTGAAATAATCAGGCACCGCTACCTTTTAACGAGTGTGCAAGTCAGGGGCTCCTGATTCCGGGCGCTAACCCAGGCAGTCGTGCCCTGAGACTGTGCTAATGAGTGCATCCCAATTTCCCTGGGCTATTAATGTTCCACTCTAGGTAGCCCGTGGTCTTGGCCTTACTGTAGGTGAGGGCAAACTTTCCTGTGGGGGGGATACTTAGGTTTGAGACGACAGACAGAACATTCTCTTTGCTGAGAATTTCCTGGAGCCTTCTAGTCTTGGCTGTAAAGTAAGGCGTGGCTGGGCTATTATTTGTGTGAAGAAGAAACGGATCCCTTAATGGTGTAAGATTTTTCCTCTGTGCATTGTTCCCATTTCCGCAGTTTCACTTGGCCACGGTGTGCTCCCAAAGTAATGCACAAGATGAAATTAGCTTTAGAGTGTTTGATGGCGCAGAATCACGGTGGGAAGATGTTTACTCTTGATGCCGGACACTTTTGATAATGTTTGGCTTGGCACAGTTAATTTTTGCAGTGTTCAGAAATGTGCCAGATGGAAATGTTGGCACGCAAATTACAGGGGTACTGGATACACACCTTCCTCTGGGGACCTGATTTTTTTTAAAAGTCAGAATGAGACATTGCAGTTTCGAAGCATAGCAGTTCCAGGTCAGTTTCTAGAGACACTAGTCCATGAAGAGGACTTAGTGAATGTTGTCCTGTGGCAGCTTCTACACTGGCAAAGCTTGGCATGTTTTTCCAACCTTTTCCTGTTGATGTAACAGTGAAATAAAATGCCATAGAATGTTTTGTTTGATGAAAAAAAAATAGTTCCTACAGGAGAGGTTAAAAAAAAAAAAAGCACAGGACTAGTCTATACTCACTAGCTACATGCTTGAGCTGGCTACGTGGATTTTCTTCCCTGGGCCTGTCACTTCCAAGGAGTATGCTTTGGAAAATGTTCTGCCCTATATAGAGGAAACTCCGTGATGTGTCCCTTTTCCATTCTTGTCTTACTCTACTTGCATCCTCGCCAGTTGGAGAAATACTTACTATGCACACATAGTGGGAAAAGTTAGCAACTGGCTTGAACGTAATTGAAACACCCTTTCCCTGAGAATTTTACAGTGTTAAGTACTTTATATAGAAATACATGTTTTAGTGGCTTTTCAAAAATATCCTTGAAAAACACTCGTGGTATCATGGGAGTTTAGATGAATGAGTTAACTTTGCAAATTAAAAAAATTTATTACTGCTGCAATGTGATTCCTTTTTTTTTAAGCTACCTCAGATATACCTCTGTTCACAACGGTAGTGTTGTAAACTTTTAATATAGATTTACAGGTGAAGGATAATGGATTTGATATTTACATACTGAAGAAAAGAGCTTACAAATTCATCAATGACTGGAGATCTGGGTATGACTAGCTCTGTACATGACCAATAACTCACTACTGAACACCTAAAAAGTCTAAGTATATGTAAAGCTTTACATATATGGGCTATGCAGCCGAAGTGAATTATCTCAACCAATTGTGGAAAAATGTGAATTAACTAATGTGAATTATTTAGATAATTTTCATTTTAATTGAATAGAATAATATAGAATAGAATAGAATAATAGAATAGAATAATCTATGACTATCAGTAACCTTCATTCCCCATGAGCTTTGAGGGTCCTGGTATGGTTGATTATTCTCTTTATCTTGAAATAGTCAGGCACCTCTACTTATTAATGGGTGTGCAAGTATTCAGGATTTTCACCCTTCTTAAAAATGAGGGATTGCACAGTGATAAGCCACTAGCATGAGAATTCAAGCTGTGTGAGTTTTAGGTATTAATAATGCTGATGGACAAAAACTATTGTTTCTGTATGTTATAAAAATGCCCAAATTGTTAATAAAAGGTCACATTATGTAACAATAAATTAACCTTGTTCAGGATGTGAATGTGAATAAAGTAGCATATCCTACAACAAACTTCAAGTAGTAGACATATTGCTGGGCAAGCAGGGCAATCTTGTTACCTGACTGCATTTTATAGACCTGTGTTCTTCCTTGTAGCTCTTCAGCCATTAGTATCATAGATTTAGGGGTGGAGGGACTTTGCAAGTCACTTAGTCTACTCTAGCCCCTTATTTTGTAGATGAGAAAACTTGGGGCCAAAGAAGTTAAATGATTTGCCCAAGTTCACATAGATAGCAAGCAGCAGGAAGATTTAAAATTGAGCCCTCTTTTCATTACAATTTGGTTCATTCTTCTTTCTTTTTTTAATTGGCTTTTCTGTTTTGTTCTAGTTTCTTTAGATATCTGTTATAACTTTAGGAGATATCAATGGAAATGTTTGTATGAGAAATGACCTTTCAGTCAAGCAGAAAATAATGATAATACCTGTGATGAAAGTTCTAGAAGTGAGGGGCTTTGTCCTTTGAAAAGATCAGTCAGTCATGAAAGCCATGAACTTGAGCTGATGGTTTTTTTCTTTGTTATTAAATTACACATATCTTGGCCCATTAAACATACTTCTCATATTGTGTGAGCTAATATGTACAGTGTTTATAAATCAGTGGAACAAGATACGGCAGAGTTCCTGGAAGAAATTTTGGAACTGAATAAAAATCTGCAAATTAAGTATAGTCACTAACAAATGTCAAAGCTTTTTACTAACCAGTAAGGGGTGGAGGGGAGTGAAACTATTCCTAGTCTTAAGCCTGATTGATAAATGTGGAATAAAATTGGTTTACTTTGAAGCAATGTTTTGGACAAGATTCAAACTTATAATTACATCACTTGGAAAAAAAAAGACATAGCTAATTTTCCCTCTGATTTAGAAGTCTTTACCCAGAGTAGTTTGGAATTCTAAGAGATATGGAAAATGTAACAGACTCTATTCTAGATAACATATCCCTAGGAATCTGTTTAGAAACTTTCTTCAGGGATAAGATGTGTGATTTTTTTTAAAGAAAAGTTTATACTGAGGAAGAGAAATCCACAAAATACTTGACATTCAAACTTTTTTTATTCTCTATATTTGCTTTTTTTCATTTCATCCCTTTGATGTTAACCAAGGGAACTTGATATACTTGAAGGAGCACTGGGCAAGGTCCTCTGCTTAAACAAAGGGGCAACTTTCTTCAGGAGGCTGGAGGCAATGAGATTCATTCTATAAAAATTTATTAAGTGTATATTATGTGCCAATCAGCACCCAGTGCTTAGCACAGTGTCTGGTACGTAGTAGGCACTTATAAATGTTATGTGGTTTGATTGATTGTTATTTTCTAAGAATACAGGGACAACAAGGAAGCCATCCATTCACTCAAGGAGTTTATGCATTATTGGGGGAGAGGAACAACATGTGCATAGCAAATGAAATACGAAATATATGCAGATTAATTTCCTAAGGAGAGAGGATGTGACACTTAAGTTGAGCTTCAAAGGAAGATGGAGATTCTATAAGGTTAAGTTGAAGAATGAATACATTCCAGTTATAAGTAATGACAGCCTTTGTAATGACATGAATGTTGGAAATGTAATGTTGTATACCAGGAACAGCAAGCAATCCACTTTAGCTGGAACATAACATTTTCAAAGAACAGTAATGTGCAATAAGACTGGATAGGTAGACTGTAGCCATATTGTGAAGGGCTTTAAAAACCAAACAGAGGAGTTTACATTTAATCCTATGGGTAATAAGTTGCCACTGAAGTTTCTTGAGTAGGGGAGTGATATGGCCAGACCTATGTTTTAGGAATAA